GCCTCCTTACGCCCACGTCAGTTGTCGTGCCTGGGCGGGGGCCTGTTCACCTGGGGTGAATCATGTTTGTCTCTGGCGGGTTCCTGCTGGGAACGTTGTGCATAGTCTCTGCAATCTGCTGTGTCATACCCGTAGGACCTGTGGTGCACACAGTATCTTGGGGGGTTCGGATTTGACCTATTTCTATGTCCAGAACCTCGGCCTCGACCTCTTCCCCAAAGGGGTGCCTGCTAGGCCTCCATTTGATGGGGATCAGTAATCGGGTTGACATCTTCATATGCTAAGGTGGGAACCGCATTCAAAGTGGTGGTGGCAAGTGCTTGGCCAGAGTTCTCATTTCCGGCTTGGTTCATTTGGTAGCCTAGGTAAGACTTTGCACCTCCTTTGGCTTTTGGGGAGACCTCATCTTGCATAGAGCCTCAATCTTCTCGGGGTTGGCCTCAATTCTTTGTTGGTTGACCATGTACCCCAAGAACTTGCCGGAGGCTACCCCAACGGCGCACTTGAGGGGGTTGAGCCTCATCCTATAGCTTCTTAGGATTTGGAAAGTGTTGTTGAGGTGCGTTATGTGGTCCTCAGCCTCCAAACTTTTTACTAGCATGTCGTCCACGTAGACCTCCATTGTTTTGCCAATGAGGTCCATAAATATCTTGTTTACGAGTCTTTGGTAGGTTGCTTCGACGTTTTTCAACCCGAAGGGCATCGTTCTATAACAATAGAGGCCTCGGTCCGTGATGAAAGAGGTGTGCTCTTCATCGATCAGATGCATGGGAATTTGGTTGTAGCCAGAGTATGCATCCATAGAGCTCAACAACTCGTGCCCAGCTGTGGAGTCCACTAGTTGGTCGATCCTTGGGAGTGGAAAGCTATTTTTCGGGCAAGCTCTATTGAGGTTGGCGAAGTCGATGCACACCCTCCACTTGCCGTTGTGTTTCTTTACTAGAACTGGGTTGGAGATCCACTCCGGGTAGGTTGCCTCCCTGATGAAGCCATTTTGGATGAGCTTCTGAACTTCTTCCTTTAGGGCCTCATACCTCTCAGGATTGAGGGCTCTCCTTTTTTGTCTATACAGGGCAACCTTGGGATCGATTTTCAGATGGTGGCAGCTGACCTTGGGGTCTACGCCTACCATGTCCTCATGCCTCCAAGCGAAGACATCAAGGTTCCTGCCTAGGAAACCCTTAATCTTTTCCTTCAGAATGTTGGATAGACATTTGCCTACCTTCAGCACCTTTGATGGGTCTTGGGGGTCTACTGAGAAGTTCTCAAGTCCCCCTACTGGGGATGCTTGGGGTTCGTGTTCCATTATACGGGGGTCAATCTCATTGATGATCAGCACCTTCGGATTAGGCGGTGTATCGATCATATCAACATCTTCTTGTTAGGTGGGAGCATCACCTAGGACATTAGCCATGACCACATCAGCTATGATTAAATGGACGTCTCGGGGCTCTACCTTCTTAATGGAGCTTAGATAGCACTCTCTCGAGCCTCTTTGGTCGCCTCTCACCATTGCCACCCCATTTTCTGTCGGAAATTTCATGCATAGGTGGTGGATGGAGGTGACTGTTCCCAATTCCTTTAGGGCTGGTCTGCCTAACACTCCATGGTAAGCCGACCGACTGTTGACAATGAGGAACTCCATGAAGTTCATCGTTGTTTGTGGGGATTCTCCCATCTCCATTGCAAGTGTTATCTTTCCCCTTGGAGTGATGCTATCTCCGGTAAATCCGTACAATGGAGTGGTGGTGGTCGTCAACTGATGATCCAATATCATCTTCTCAAAGGCAGATCCGAATAGAATGTTGACGGAGCTGTCGTCGTCAACTAACATTCGTTTGAGCCCATTCCGGGCTATGATAGCCCTCACTACAAGTACATCGCAATGGGGATAATGAACTCCTTCGGCGTCTTCTTGGGTGAAGACAATGGGTGGAACCTGATTTCTTCTGGAGCTACTACCCATTATGTAACTTATCAAAGGGGGGTGTTTAGCCTCCCGAGCGTAATTCCTTTTGGCATTTTGTGTTTCACCGCCAACATATGGGCCTCCAAATATGGTATCCACCTCGTGGATAGGGGCTTCATCTCGAGCTTGCCGATTTCTTTGGTGCTTATACCCTTCCCTGGGCCTCTCTGCATCATGCTCCCTTCGCCGTGGGGATACATCCCTTTGACGGGGAGTGGCCTCCTTACGCCCACGTCAGTTGTCGTGCCTGGGCGGGGGCCTGTTCACCTGGGGTGAATCATGTTTGTCTCTGGCGGGTTCCTGCTGGGAACGTTGTGCATAGTCTCTGCAATCTGCTGTGTCATACCCGTAGGACCTGTGGTGCACACAGTATCTTGGGGGGTTCGGATTTGACCTATTTCTATGTCCAGAACCTCGGCCTCGACCTCTTCCCCAAAGGGGTGCCTGCTAGGCCTCCATTTGATGGGGATCAGTAATCGGGTTGACATCTTCATATGCTAAGGTGGGAACCGCATTCAAAGTGGTGGTGGCAAGTGCTTGGCCAGAGTTCTCATTTCCGGCTTGGTTCATTTGGTAGCCTATTAGGTGGGAGGTTGGGCCTCTACCACGTTGTCTTTGAGGAGGTGGGAGGCCTCTACTTGCCCTGTTCCTATGCTCAATCAATTCTTCATTGATGATCTCCCTTCTTATCATTTCGAGTAGGGCGTCATAGGTTGTGAGGTCTTGATTCTGCACGTCCCTCCAGAACAGGGTAATTATGTTCAAACCTCCCCTCAATGCGGATAGTGCCTCTCGGTCAGTGACTTGTACGTAGTACGTCATCTCATCGGTGAAGCATGATAAAAAGCTCTTTAGGGACTCCCCATGTGCTTGTCTCATGTCCTGGAGACGTTGGATGGGGGCCTCTCCTTCTTTTCTCACCGCGAATCTCTTCAAAAATGTTGTCTTGAACTCGGGCCAGCTTCTAATGCTCAAATTTCAGCCGCCCCACTAAGCATTAAATGGAAGGCTCTGCACTTCACGACTGGGGTAGCATCCCTTAGACTCATGTGAGTTTTATAAGCATTCAAGTGCTTCTCCGGGTCGCCTCTTCAGTCAGACCTTGGTATTTTTGGCATAACATAGTGGCTCGGGACCTGAGCATTCCTTAGTTCCCTTGAGAATGGTAGATTCTCATTGTCATCGTCCAAGTCGCAGGACCTCTGCTGTTCATCAGAGTCATACTCATCAGCCTCATACCCTAGTTGTTGGTGAGAGGTTTTGGGACGGTCCTTAGCCTCTTCCTCCCTCCTTTCCTGCCTATTTCTAGGCGGAGCAACACGGGGGGCATTTTCATGCCTTCTTTCCGGCTACTGGGGCATTGGAGGTGGAGGAGGTGGCCTTATCCAGGGCTGTTGAGCCTGCTGTTCCCTGAGCCTTGTTTCGATGGGGCTGATTCTGTCAAAAACACTTCCTGCCCTCCTATGTCTTGGATCATGCTCATACGGAGGTGGAAAATTATCATGGCTCATTTGGACCTCAGTGGGTCGGCCAGAAGCGTAGTTGGAAGAAACATCAACTTCCACTTCCCTTTCAAATGGGCTTCCACCTCGGCCATAGTCTGGCGAGACAGCTCTATGACTTTGAACTTCATTCTCTTGCTGGTAATGCCCTTGGGGGGCGTATGGAGGAATGGGGAAGCCTCTCTGGCCCTGCATTTGGGCCATAAGCTCCCTCATAGCCAAGTTTTGACTAGCGATATCCCTCATGTTGGCTGCCATGGTGACCATTTCTCTTGATAGTCGTGCCGTCGCACGCATCCCACCTCTCCTTTGATGGTGGTGGAGCTCAGCTGAGCTACTGGGGCTACGGGCTGAGGAGGCACATTTGTGTTTTCCCTTACCCTCCTTAGAGGAGTATCTTCATTGGAGCTCATTTTCTTTTGTTAGACTTCAGATTTTGTGAAGTAATGGGGCTTCTTCCTGTTCTTTTTCAGGAACAAATCCTTTTTCAAGGGGGGTTGCCCAAATGTCATTTCAGTAAGCTTTTACCACAAGGTTGCTCGTAATTATGGTATGGTTTTCCACAGACGGCGTCAATTTGTTAACCCCAAAAAGTGTTGCCAACAGATGCCGGTCCCACCCGCACACACGTGAGCGAATGTCCAACACGCTAAGACACGTGATCCGATTATACAATAATTACCAACCGATGTTCATGAATGTATATGTAAATGTATATAAACTCGATTTGTGTATTGCAAGTAAATGGGCGAGAGTTGAGTAAAGTGTAGTTCTTTGTATTGATTCTTGTATTAGCCTTTTGATGTTACACAAGGGAAGTATTTATAGTGGTACACGTGAAATGGGAGCCCTTGGATAAGGTGGCACGTGGCCTCATCTCTTTGATTTAAACATCTTATTAGGCATGAGGTTTGACTTGCTAGCTTGCAGCACATTTATTGCTTGTGCAGAGCCCCCATACTAGTGACAAGACTTGACTTTTATGCTTATGACAAACGTTCCATCAATCATTCGAATAAGATCTTTATGCAGACGATCTCTTGGGAGAAGTGAACATGGAAGACACTCCCTTGTGGTTCGGAGGCTCCTGCATCAGCTTCTGGGCTTCGATCATTTCACACAATACTTCAGCTTGAGGGCTTCAGCTATCTTCAACTAGGTTCAGCATCATGGTTTCGGTTCATGAGCCTCGGCATGTGGACCTCGGGTACGTTCACAGGCCTCGGTAAAAAGGCGCCTCGTCTAGTGGACTTCGGTTTGAAGGGCTTCGACCATTGCCCACCTCGGCAATATATGCCACCTAGGCTGGAGTGTCACGTGGTTCGGCCTGAATGGGCCATTGGCCCAAGTAGATTGGTCAAGTATGACAACACGCAACATTTTTAATGTCACATTTTGCAACGTTTATTGAATGTTGTGAAAAGTTCCATTTTCACAACACTTACTAAATATTGCGAAAAGGTTCTGTTTTCAATGTTTACTGGCCATTACAAAAATTTCACTTTTCACAACATTTATCAAATGTTGCAAAAAGTTTTATTTTTCGCAACGTTCATTATTAAGACATTTTTCCTTTTTGCAGCATTCGTTGAAGGTTGCAAAAAGTATCAAAAAATGAACACAAATAAAATTATATATGGACCCAAAATAATCCAAACGCTAGACTAATAACTCACGCCTCTCCCCTCTCCTCCTCTTCTTCACTCCCGACCAAAAGTTTTAATTCTCCATATTTTGCCCAATTAATTTGCTCACGTTCAGCCCCAATAGAAGGTCTTAGTGTTGATTGAGGGTGCAAAAACGATGTTCTTTCTCTTCGAGATCTTTTTTTGGATAATATAAGGTACATAGATGAGCAGAACAGCGCTGCGAATCGGACCTATAAACTGGGTTTGAACTGATTCACTGATCTCAGCAATGAGGAGTACCGATCCATGTATTTGTGTGCGAAAATCGGTGATAGGAAGACGAAGAGTGATCGGGACGGTATAAACTGAAAGACGGCAACAACTTGCCAAATTCCATTGACTGGAGAGACAAAGGCCCTGTCCCTCCAGTGAAAGATCAAGGGAGCTGTGGTAAGCCCTTTTATTTATTATTCCATAGAAAAGTTCTCAATTAGATTTTATACTGCTTTAAAGTTTAGTGCAAATCAGTCCATTTTGTTGAGTAAAAAAAAAAAAAAAAAAAAATAA